TTTTTTGTAGTTTTAGTAGAGACAGGGTTTCACTATGTTGGTCAGACTGGTCTTGAGCTCCTGACCTCGTGATCTGCCTACCTCGGCCTCCCAAAGTGCTGGGATTACAGGTGTGAAGCACCTCGCCCAGCTACATGCAAATTTTTGTGCAGACGTATGTTTTCATTCTCTTTGATATAGCCAAAGAATTGGAAATGCTGGTTATATAACTCTCTATTTTTTTTAAAGACTGAGTCTCACTCTAGAGTGCAGTGGCATGAACTCAGCTCACTGTAACCACCACTTCCCCAGTTCAAGCAATTCTCCTGTCTCAGCCTCTCTAGTAGCTGGGATTACAGGCATGTGCCACCACACCTGGCTAATTTTTGCATTTTTAATAGAGATGGAGTTTTGCCAGGATGGCCAAGGTGGTCTTGAACTCCTAGCCTCAAGTGATCCACCCGAAGTGCTAAGATTACAGGCATGAGCCACTGTGTCTGGCTGATAACTATTTTTAACGTTTTGAGAAACAACCAGACTGTTTGAAGTGGCTGTACCATTTTGCATTCTTTTTTTTTGAGACGGAGTTTCACTCTTGTTACCCGGGCTGGAGTGCAATGGCGCGATCTCGGCTCACCGCAACCTCCGCCTCCTGGGTTCAGGCAATTCTCCTGCCTCAGCTTCCTGAGTAGCTGGGATTACAGGCACACGCCACGATGTCCAGCTAATTTTTTGTATTATTAGTAGAGACGGGGTTTCACCATGTTGACCAGGATGGTCTCGATCTCTCGACCTCGTGATCCACCCGCCTCGGCTTCCCAAAGTGCTAGGATTACAGGCATGAGCCACCGCGCCCGGCCTTTTCTTTTCTTTTTTTTTTTTAATTGGAATGTCTTTCTATGTTATCCAGGCTGGTCTTTAACCCTTGGGCTCAAGGAATCCTCCTACCTTATCCCCGCAAAATGCTGAGATTATAAGTGTAAGCCACCACGCCTAGCAAGTAAGAATTCTTTAAATATTCTGGGTACAGGTCTCTTATCAGTTATATAATTTGCAAATAGTTTCTCTTTTTTTTTTTTTTTTTTTTTTTTGAGACATGGTCTCGCTCTGTTACCTAGGCTGGAGTGCAGTGGCGCAATCACAGCTCACTGCAGTCTGAAACTCCTGTGCCCAAGTGGTCCCTATGTCTCTGCCTTACAACTAACTGGAACTATAGGCACACACCACCACATCTGTCTAATTTTTAAAAATTTTTTGTACACAGCTGTGACTGCACCACTGCACTCCAGCCTGGGCAACAGAGTGAGACCCTTCTCAAAAAATATGCATATGTATAGCAATTATGTTTCTATACATTAGCAATTAACCTGAAAACAAAATTTGAAAAAAATTATATTTACAGTAGCATAAAAAAGAATAAAATATTTAGGAATAAGTTTAAAAGATCTATAAAGCTTATACTTTGAAAACCACAAAACAGTCCAGGCATGTGGTTTATACTCATAATTCTAGCACCTTGGGAGACTGAGGTGGGAAAATTGCTTGAGACCAGGAGTCTGAAACCAGTCTGAGGCAACATAGTGAGACCTCGTCTCTACAAAAAGATATATAATCAATTGTATATTGATCTTGTATTCTGCAACATTGCTAAACTTGCTTATTAGTTCTAATAGTTTTTTTGTGGATTTTGTAGAATTTTCTCCATGCAAGACTGTGTCATCTGCAAATAGAAATAGCTTCACATTTTCCTTGCCGATTGGATGCCTTTTATTTCATTTTTTTTCACCTAATTACCCTGGCTAGAACCTTCAGTACAATGTTGAATATAAATGTCAAGGGCAAATATCCTCATCTTGTTCCTGAACTTAGGGGGAAAGCATCTGGTCTTTCACGATATAGTTTTCTGTTGATACCTTTCATCAGATTGAGAAAGTTTTCCCTTCCATTCCTAGTTTATTGAGTTTTCATTATGAAAAGGTGTTGGATTTTGTCTAATGCTTTTTCTGTATCTGAGATAATTATGTGGTTTTTGTCTTTTATACTGTTGATATTTGTCTGTTACATCAATTGATTTTTGGATGTTAAACCAACCTTACATTCCTGTGATGAATCCACATCTTTTTTGGGTGACTCTATTTCATTGGATTATGAGCTCCACCACTGTTAGGGCCAGTGTCCCCAGGGGCAGATGGGGGTGGGTATCCCTAAGTCTCTCTTTATTCTGCTCCTTCATTCCCCTGAGTTCCCTTCTTCTATTCTATCTGCAAAGACAAGGACGGGAAGCCAAGGCAGAAGGTGATCATCGCCAGCTGTGGGGAGTACATGTGGCGCTTTCTCTGCTCTCCACTCTGCTCTTTCCCTTGCACATCCAGGAAGGAGCTGCCAGCTTCAGAGGAGGCAGCACCAAGGGTGCCCTGTTTGAAGCAAGCAGCATTTGTGGCATGAGGCCTGCCTCAGGGTCAGCTTGAAGCCCCTCTGCAGGCACAGCGTGGACTGTTCCCAAGTGCAGCTGTGGGCCCAGGAGCCAGCATGGGTGCTCCTTCACCAGCCACCACCATGGGCAGACTGTGGCCACGGGCTTTTTCCGGCATCTGCTGCCAGGTCAGCTGTGGGCTCACCAATGTGGCTCCTGGATGTTTTATTCTGTTTGGTTTGCTAAAATAAATCCTAGTTCTTGTACGGCTGCTTGCCAGCCAGGTCCCAGGTGTTTTCAGAGGTTGCTGCTGGGACAGGCCTTAGCATCTCTGCTGCTGCTCTTCTCTTTTAGGCCAAGTCCCTTAGGGGATGCTCTCATCAGCCCATTGTGGGGCAGTAGAAGGCAAAGCCATAGAAAAGTGCCTCTGTCTTCTCTCTCTGGTTGGTTACCATTTCTGCTGTCACACTAGCTGGTCTTGTGCCTGATGGGCACCTGTAATCAGTCACACTCAACTGCACTCATTATGCACTCCCTGAACCAACAGAACTATATTACCAAGAATCACCCAGGGCCCTTCTTTAGTCATCGGATGTGCTTGGTGCTGGGGAGAAACAAGCAGGGGTGGGTCCTACCTCCTCCCTGACCCCAGGCCTACCTAGAAATTGCAGTGTGGTGCCATGGTGTGCAGCCTGTGCTAGGATGGCTCTCACCTTGTACCAGTTTTGGGCCAGCCAGACCACCTCATGGCATCTTTCAGGTGCTGAGGTTGAGCCCTATCAGTCTCCAAAAACCTCCCCCAGGGATGCCCACTGGCTCCCATGACATGTCCCAGGAGCTCTGTCTGAATCAAGTCTTTTTTTTTTTCTTTTTGTGATGGAGTTTTGCTCTTGTCACCCAGGCTGGAGTACAATGGCATGATCTTGGCTCACTGCAACCTCTGCCTCCTGGGTTCGAGGAATGTCTCAGCCTCCCAAGTAGGTGGGATTACAGGCACTTGCCTCCATGCCCAGCTGATTTTTGCATTTTTAGTAGAGACGGGGTTTCACCATGTTAGCCAGGCTGGTCTCAAACTCCTGACCTCTGGTGATCCACCTGCCTCAGCCTCCCAAAGTGCTGGCTGAATCAAGCCTTGATGTTGAGAATCCACCAGGGTGAGGGTGGTGAGGAAACGAGAAGCCTATTTCCCTGGCCCCAGTGACCCCCGGCCAGCTCCACCTCTGGCACCCTGGGTGGGGCTTCTCCCCCTTGATCAGCTTGGCCCTGCAGTGTTCCCAGCAGGCACTCTCACTCCTCGGTGTTGACGTCATGTTATTGGTGGTCAGTCATAGCTGTCAGGACAGGCAGCATTGAGGCCAGGATAAGGCCAGCTACCCAGGGCTGCCATGAAGCCCAGGAGAGAAGAGGATATGTGTAAAGTGCTCAACATAGTGGGTTCTGGGGCTGGCCTGAGGCCCTGAGAGCAGGGACTGGTTCCACAGCCCTGTGAAACAAGGGAGGATCTTATTGCTGTGCTTGCTTGATTACCCTGGGAAGGAGGGATCAAGGGACCAGCCAGAGAGGCCAGTGGGAGAGGAACCTTCAGGTTTTCCCCAGAAGTTATCCCAGTGGGTCCACCTGTGACCCTTGTATTGTGAGGTCACCTGAGCCTCAAAGGTAAGGCGCCTGCCCCTGCTTGTGCCAAGTGCTACGCAGAGAAGGAGAGGAGATTATTGGTCCGAGGATTCCAGACCAGTGGGCAGACTCGTGGCCACGCGATCTGGGCACTGGGCTGCCTGCCACCCCGTGGGAGCCCCACTCCAGCCTCTGAGGAAGGGAATGCAAGAGCAGACGTATGAGGGAGAAGCTAAAGCAGAATTCAAGGGCTGGAAAGCTGCTAACAATTATGTTTTGAAAGAACATTTAATAACAGAAACTTTCAAAATGTTTCAAACATTGAATAAATCAGATCACCAAGCAGTGTACAGAGTAGGATCCTAACTTTATAAAATATCCTATGTCATATATAAAGAAGAATGTATATGTGCCAAGAAAAAAGACTGGAAGGAATTAGGAGCAGTGGTTCTCTCTGATTGATTATGGGTGTTGATATTCTGGTTTTTGTTATTTTCTCTCTGATTGATTATGGGTGTTGGTTATTTTCAAAAATTTCCCCACCACACAGGTAGTTTTCTTACATGAGGAAAAAACATTTGTTAAAAGTAGGGAGCGGCAGCTATTTGCTCAAGGCTTCCCAGTAAGGAAAGGAACCTGGAGTAGAAAGTGCCCCCTTGAGCTTCCCACAAGGGCAAAGTTAGGTGCCAGCCACACTCACTACAGGGCCAGGGGAGGGCCACACACCTGCCACCTCCCCAGCAGAGACCCTAGCGCGCAGGTCACTGCCGATTCAGACTCCTTCCACAAGCAGGTGAGGGTGCAGGGCCACACCTCATGCAAGAGATGACCACGTTTAGATTTTTGAGGAAAAGCACAGCTCTCAGGTAAATACAGCAGTACTTCCAAGCACATTCTGGGAGGAGTGGGTTTTATGAGGAAGGCATACAAGGAAGGCCCAAATTTGCAAGTCCATTTAAAATGAGCCTGCTCAGAATTGCTGTTTATTCCACAGGTCTGCACAGGCATGGCTCTATGTGTCCCATGACATGTTTGACCCTCATGGAGGCCTCAAAAGGGCAAGACCAGCACCCTCTTCTACAGAGGAAGGAGCAGGCGCAGCAGGTACGTGATGTTGTCAAATTAACAAGAGGCAGAGGCTGGGTACAGTGGCTCTTGCCTGTAATCCTAGCACTTTGGGAGGCTGAGGTGGGAGGATTGCTTAAGCTCAGGAGTTCAAGACTGGCCTTGGCAACATAGTGAGGCCTGGTCTCTACAAAAAAATATAAAAATTAGCCAGGTGTGGTGGCATGTGCCTGGCATCCTAGCGCCTCAGGCTGAGGTGGGAAGATTGCCTGAGCCCAGCAGGTCAAGGCTGCAGTGAGCCATGATACAGCCTCTAGCCTGTGCGACAAAGTAAGACCCTGTCTCAAAAAAAAAAAAAAAAAAAAAAAAAGCAGAGCCAAGACTTGATGCCAGGTCGACTTGGTTCCAAAACCTGCCCTCTCCTTTTCACAGACCCCTTTCCCATGAAATAATAGGGAATTTCTCTAAAGCACATCGCCTAGGTCCCTACGTAAAGACAAAGAAACAGGACTTTGCACACTTGGCTGGCATCAGGGCCAGCCCTGCGCTGCAGTGTGAAGATGGCCCCTGGGGTGGGGGAGCTGCTCTGCACCGAATAGCCTCAGACCCTCTGTCAGTGGCTGCTTATCACTGCCAGTGGGCCTGAGCTGACTACCCTTATTTATGCTCCTGATGTGTAGCCTTGAATGCATCCTGGGAGTGGGAGACCACCAGGCCAGATGGCCTTGGTAGCTGGGCACTGACCCCTCATCAGCTATGTGTCCATACACCCTCCAACTTTTCTGAGGCCTTCTCTATGTGATGTCATTTGGTGGCTGTCTGGGTGGCTAAAGATGCCAGAAGTCTGGCCACCAGGAAGGCCACAACTGTCACTTTCTGCTTTGCTGCTGAAAAGGGAGTCTTATCACGATTCTCAGGCCTGCTCTGCACACCTGATGGGCATGGCAGTGTTTGTGTCTTGAAAACATTCATTTCACAAACTCAGCATCCCCAAACTATGCCAGTTTACATACTGGGCACTGAAGAGACCAAACATTTGTCAGTTTCCAAAACTTTACTGCCCAGTATTGGAAGAAGAGAGCTGTTAAATCAGGTCTTGCAGTGGCAGATAGGCCCCAAGTCCTGTGGCAGCCTGGCCATCAGGCCATGTCTCAGGCTCTGGGACAAGGTCACAGGGGTGGATGGGCTCTCTGGCTGGAAGAGCCTTTGGAATGAAACAGTCCCATGTCCTCATGTCACAGATGAGAAACTGAAGCGTGAATAAGAAAGAGGACCTGTCTTGACATCAAGTCAGTGGCTGAGTTGGAACCAGAATATCTGTCTCTTGACATTGAGGCCAGTGCCTCTTACAGTCCCTGCTAGCTGAGCTTGAAGCCCTAGACTAGTAGGGAACTCCCTGTTTCCAGACAGCCTGGGCCTGCCCTTTGCATACATGGAAGGGTCTCATCCTCTGCGCTTGCACACAGAGGCCCCCCCTGCTCTGAGTGGAGGGGCTGCTGTCCCGCAGCATGGCCCAGCCTCTACCTCTGCTGCCAGACCAGCTCTCCCTCGCCCCATCTCTGGGGGTGCAGCATGTGAACTCCAGAGAGGTGCATTCTTGGGCACATGGGAGGTGGAACCACCATGCCAGGCTGTGCCTGTGGATGGGATGGGCTCAGGATCTGCTTTTAATGACATGGTTTGGGCAGCTGGACTCTGTCTGTTCCAGCAGGTAAATTACAGGCTTAGCAACTCAGAAATCAAATAAACACTCCAACTCCCAGTGGCAGCTCCAAGGAGAACAGTGGTTTCCGGGAACAGCGGAGGCTGAAACAAACCTCCCCACCCAACTCAGCCTAATTACTGCCTGTCACTCCCTGGGACAGGGACCTTTTCTTTGACTCATAGCCCCAAGACACAGTACAGTGCTGCTGGGCACCCAGGGTGACGCCGATTTTGGTGACCAGCCTGTTCTTAACTCCTAGACACAAGCAAACACTGGCAGTCCCCACCCTTGCCCCATGCCTGTCCGGAGACTGCCAGTCACCCTGCTCTGGATGGAATGGATTGCTCCACAGTGGAGCAGTAGGGGAACTGAGGTCTTGTTGACAGTGCCTGGTGGTGGCTGTCTGCAGTTCTGTGCTGAGGCCCAGAGGCCCTGTCCAGGTTCAGTGGGAAAGGTACGTAGGTTGATTACTGACATCAGCCATGAGCAAGGCGGGTAGGCTGCGGGGGCATCTGCTCTGTGCCAGTCTGGACCACACATCGCAGCTGCTGGCCTTGCCTCTCTGTCTCAGTGCTGAGCTATTCAGAGCTATTCAGAGCATAGTGGAGATGGCTCAGGGAACTGGAAGCCCCCGAGATTCTTTGCTCCTCTGGGAGTCATACCTCTTTCCCCGGCAGGAGAAGGGAGAGGCCCAGGGCAAGGGAAGACACATGACATAAAATATTCCCAGTGGTCGGGTGCAGTGGTTCACACCTATAATCTTAGCACTTTGAGAGGCTGAGGCGGGCGGATCATGAGGTTAGGAGTTCAAGACCAGCCTAGGGGGAAACCCTGTCTCTACTAAAATACAAAAATGAGCTGCGCTTGGTGGCGAGTGCCTGTAGTCCCAGCTACTTGGGAGGCTGAGGCAGGAGAATTGCTTGAACTCGGGAGGTGGAGGTTGCAGTGAGCCAGGATCGTGCCACTGCACTCCAGCCTGGGGGACAGACTGAGACTCCATCATCTAAAAAAAATAAAAATAAAAATAAAAAAAATCCATGGTGGTGGCTTCATGAGGACCTCTAGCTTACTCTTTTTCTAATATGTTAACTGCAGCCTGGACCAAATTAGAAAAATCCAAGAACACACTGTACTGAGAACATGTGCATGCCCAATTATGCCCAGAAATGCCCAGGTGTTGTCTCTGGGAAGGGGCAGAGCCCTGCTCCCCACCCCAAAACCCTGTGGTAGATGATGGTGCAAAGCTCGCGTCAGCCAACCTCAGACCATCCAGGGCTGGCCAGTCTGGCCGGTCCTAAGATAGGACTTCTGTGCTGACTCCAGACAGTACAGTCAGCACAGGCTCCAAGATTGCTGTGTACCTTAGGCCACCAAAGTGTCAGGCAGGGTGACAGCCACAAACCCCAGGGGAGAGGCACAGAGGGACCCCGAAAGGACCAGAAGCCTGACAGAAAGTAGGCACAGAAAGTGAGGGCCTCTGACACTCCTGCTTGAGCCGTGACAGCATTGAAGGGTTTCCTGCTTCCGAGGGGCCCTATCCGATGAGAAGGGCTGGGCGGGCTGGGCTCAGTGGCAGCCGCAGGCCTTGACCACCATGTTGCGCTTCTTGCGCAGGATGACGTTGTTGCTGCTGTCATAGTAGAGCACGGAGGTGGCGCTCAGCTTGGTGGGCGCACAGCACGCCTTGGGGACTGCGTCTGGCTTCATCAGGTGCACCTGGCCAGGGAGAGGGCACAGGCAGGGGCATGAGTCCAGTGGCCGCCTCCAAGGACTCACCCAGCCCCACCCCAGCTCCACCTGCTCCCCACCCTGGCCATCTCCAGGCCACATGGGAGCAGCACAATAATAATAACTATTCACAGGAATAAGAACAGCCCTCTGGGCTCTGGGAACAGGAGCTGTGGTGACTAGCAGTGCCCAGGGAGGGACACATGGCAGGGGGTGTGGGGCAGGTGGGCAGGGCACTAATGAGGGACCTCGAGTCCCAGGCCAAGGGCTCAGACTTCCTCCTGGGGATGATGGGAAGGAGAACCGCATGGCCAGGTTTGTGCCTTAGTGAGGTCCCTGACGGGGAACCTGGAAGGACAACTTCCTTCTTTTGGCCCTTTGGACCCAGAGGCTCCGCCTCCCATGCCCCGCCTCCCTCCTCAGGCTCTTGGAGCCCAGGCCTTGGTCCCTCTCCTATGCTGCTCTCCAGACTTGCGGATCCTGCTCCCTTCCCTACTTCTGTACTTAGGGTCTGACAGGGCCTCGGCAGAACACCAAGTTCCTCTCGCCCTGCCATCACAGCCCTGCCTGGGAGGCCTCCTGGATGCCTCCTCTCCCCTTCTCCCTTCCCTGGGAGCAGCCCCTGGCTCAATCTCCGCCTCTGTGCTGTCTCAGGCCACCTGCCCAGTCCAGCTGCCATCACCTGCCAGGTGACCACAGCAGCCCTCCTCCCCTGCTCCTCTGCCTTCCATTCCCCGCACCTTCAGCTTCCCCAAGCCAGAGAGGTCATTCTGGAGGGTGACATGGACCATGACACTGCTTTGCTAAAGACCTCTGACAGCTTCTCAGGTTGCTTGGAAAAAAATCCACTCTCCTTCCCAGGGACCCCCAGACCAGGAGCTGGCCCTGCCCACCCCGACATCACCTCCCTCCACCCTTCCTCCCAGTCACTGCATCTAACGCCTCCTCCCTGCTGGCCCTGATCTTAGGACCAGCTTGCTCTGTCTTAGGGCCTTGCACTTGACAGGATGTTCTTTCTGCTGGAACATTCCTCCTCCAGCTGCCCCCTCCTTGTGTGGAGAGGCTGGGCCCAATCTCCCTCCACTGATGGGCGGCCTGCTCTGCTCTTCCTCACAGGAGGCATCAGCTCTGTGGGTGGTTTGCTTCTGTGCCCACCGACAGCCTCCCTTAGAGCACAGTGACTGATTGCTGCCCAGCAGGTTGTGAATGCTCACTTTAGTTGAGCCCCTGAGGGGCAGGGGCAGAGGGGACAGAGTCCAGTAGTTGCAGGTGCAGTCACCTCCCCATACACGCAGCCCTGAGAACCACACAGCATAAAGGGTGGCTGGGCTGGGCTGCCCCAGGCATCATCACCCGCGAACCTTTCAAGGAGGGCACTCCAGGTATCCAGCAAACACCATTTGACCGCCCAGAAAGTGTTATCATAGGCTCAAAGCAGCTTTTGGTAATTCCTTTCCTCTCATGCCAGGGCATTGCCTTTCTGTGTGTATGTGTGATTTTTTAAAATTTTTGTTTTAGAGATACGGTTTCACCATGTTGCCCAGGCTGGTCTTGAACTCCTGGGATTACAGGTGTGAGCCACCGTGCCTGATCAAGGCATTGCCTTTGAACCTCCTATGAGAAAACCATAAGGCTGTGGAATACCAGGAACTGGGATTCTAGATAAAAATTTCTGGATGGAAGCCTGGGTGCCAGAATCTGCAAACACCCAGAGCTCTCAGCAGTGAGCAGCACCAGTGATCCCATCAGAAGCCGCTTTCATCACTTAAGGTTGCCCGACACCGAGGCACCAAAAGCCAGGGGATCTGGAGAAAACACAAACGGCCAAGAGAGAAACAGGGAAAAGCCAAAGGGTAGAGAGCCACACCATCTAGACGCTCCCTGCCTGCGCTGTGGCACAGGTGGGTGAGTGCATACCCACGTCCCTCATGCTGTGTGACATGTCCTGGGCGGGCAGACTTGCCAGCGTACTCAGGTGCCCGCGTGTTAAGATCGCAGTCCCCACGTGGCGTGCACGTCCATTTCGTGTGCTGTGCTTCTGACCATAGGAGCTGTGCCTCTGTCAGTCTGGGCACCGCGCACAGGTGCATAAGTGTCCCACGGGAGCATGTGCGGTGCGTAAAACAGGCGTGTGTACGCGGCTATTTAGTGTCAGTGTGGGGTGTGTCTGTGTTCAGGTGCGAGTCTACGTGGGCTAGCGTGGCTGTATGAGGACCAGGTCCTGCAGAGCTGTGGGAATTTTGTGACATTACTGACTCCGTGCAGAGGAAGCTCCCTGAGACATGGAGCAGGTACCCTCCCTGCCCTTCCGGCTGGCTGGACCAGATACCTCTCTGCAGGGCCCCCCACCCCAGGAGGCTGGGCAGGACAGGCACAGTACTGACCAGGGACTGCAGGATGGCGTGGTTGGTGGCGTTCATGCAGGAACCCAGTGGGAAGGAGCACTCCCCCTCACAGTAATAGGCTGAGTAGCCTTGCGGGGCGATGATCCAGTCCTGGGGGCATGGGAGAAGGTGAGTCCCATCCACGTGCCCCTCCCTGAGCCTTGGGCCCAAACCCACCCTCCATCCCTGCAGGCCAGTCTCCCCCAAGAGGCCTGAATCCACCCAGGAACCCCCAGCAGATGCTGGGCAGGAGCTCAGGCCCGACATCCCCCATCCTCACTCTTCATCCCGCCCCAGCCGGCCCTCCCCTGCCAACGCCTCCCAGAGCTGCAGTCGCAGTGCAGCCGCAGCTGATGCAGGGATGTCTCAGTTTCCTTGTGGGGATGCTGACAGCTTAGTTGGTTGATTCAGTCTTTATTTACATGGTTAAAAAAAAAAAACAACCAAAAAAAAACACACCCTTTCTCACCACGTTTTCACTTTAGAAAACTTGGCAAACACAAATAAAAAAATATGTAAGAAGATTGAAATCTACGTCCTCCCTGCAGATTCCCTTCTGCTCCACAGGTGGCGATTGTCATTTCAGAAACAAGGACAAGAGTCAGCACTTACCAGCCAGCCGAGGTCCTGGAAGCTGACGTAGAGCTCGTGCCGACGGCAGACCTGCTGGCCGTGAGAGCCGTGGACATCATCTGTAGGGACAGAGGGGCAAGGTCTTTTCTGGGGTTCCTGCTCTGTGCAGCTGCTGCGGGTTACCAGGGTGGAGGACCCCCTGATGAGCACATTTGTCAAATGAATGACAGGAAACCATTTGGTCTCATAAAGCCCATCCCTGGAACTCTGCTTGTACCATGACCCAGGCTCAAGAGCCTGCCATGGCTCCCAGTGGTTAGAGTGACACTGTGCCCAGCCCTCCCATCCTTCAGCCTGTGAGCGTCTTGATGCTCCAGTAAACAGCCCAGCAGGACCCTGGGCCATCCTGTGCCGCTTTCTCCTCTCTGGAGAACCCTGTGACTCCAGCCCACCCTCTCCTGCCACACCCATTCCTCAGGTTCAAGTGGCTGACAACCAGGCCAGTCAAGGGCCGACTCCCTGGGAAGAAGGGCACAGGGTCGGGTCAGGCCTGTCCCTGATCCTGAAGGGCTTGGCCCAGTTGGGGATAAAACTTCACATAAGTAGCCGAGGGTCCTGCAGGGTGCCCGGGCACAACTGCGGGCCACAAGGGGCTGCGGCATCCAGGGAAGGGGCAGCCGATTCTGATGGAGGCTTCTGGGAAAGACCTGGAGGAGCCAGGGAAGGGAGAGAAGGGGCCTTCTGGGTGGCAGGGACAGCCAGGACAGCCAGGACAGGCCTCTGGAGTGCCGATCACCAAGGTGCATCAGGGCAAAGATGGTGTCAGGGAAGGGGGCTGGAGAGTGGCCATCAGCTTGAACCGACCTGAGCCTGAGGGCTCTGGGCCACCTCCTGGTTCTCGCCCTGCCTCTCTCAGCCGGAAGCCTGCAGGGCCTCAGCCCCAGCCCGCCCGGTCCTCACCAAAGATGCCCGGGAGCCGGCTGTCCTGCGGCAGCTCATTGGTTTTCTTCGGCTGCCTCCTCCTCAGTGGCCTCACTGCCCGAGGGGTGCGGACGGGATTCTGACTGGCCCTGAAGAAAGTGACCACGAAAGGCTGTCGGGAGCGCGGGGCCTGTTGGCCCAGCAGGCCGGCCAGGCCAGGATCCACGCTGTGCCCTGAGACAGAAAGGAGAGAGGGGTCACTCATGGGCAATGGGCCTGCAGTGGACACAGCAGGGATCTCTCTGCCGGGCCGGGCCAGGTCCAGGGGTGTGGAGGCTGAGGACCCCAGGGGCCCTGCTGAGTCTCAATTTCCACATTTGAAGCCTGGAGCCCTTGGTCCAGCCCCGGCCAGTCCACGTGTCTCCTGGGGCAGATCTGGAGGAGGTGGGGGAGGGGCTCAGGGCTTGGTGAGCTGCAGGCAGTGTCATTAGCGACAGCTGTGACACAGACATTTGTGAAGCGCTCTACCAGTTTGAAGATTTTTCCCATGGATCACCTCATTGGGTCCTTACAGTAACCCTGCAGCTCCTACCTCACAGGAGACGCAGAGTCCCACGGCCAGTGACTCCCAGAACTGGCACTCCAACCGGCTTGAGAACCCTGAGGCCTCTGTTGTGTCTTCTGTCCCACACTTTCTGGGGTGGGAACGTCAAATTATGACTGAGACAGCTCGTGGCAGCATCTGCCAGATTTAGCGAGCGCTTTCTCCCCTGGGCACAGCCCAAGAGCAGGGCATTAACTGTCTCCCTGGTGCCCACAAGGGAAACACCAGGTCTGTGGAGCAGAGACATTGGAACCAAATCCCAGAGCCCAGGATTTAGCCTGCAGTGGTCTCATTCCAGAGCCCAAGTTCTTATGCATGAGCTGGGTTTATAGAGAAGAAGGAAAAGAAAGAAAAAAGAGAAAACGAAGGAAGGGAGGCAAAAGAGAAAAGAAAAAGAAAGTGGGGAGGGAGGAAGAGACGGAAGAAAGGAAAAGCTGAAGCAGAGAAGGAAGGAAGGAGGGAAGGAAGGAAGGAAATCTGAAGCAGAGAAGGAAGGGAGGGAGGGAGGGAGGGAGGGCTGGCTGAAGCAGCTAACTTGGGCCTCAGCTCCAGGAGGAGCAAAGCCTGTATAAAGGGATTGTCTCCCACTGCCGCTTCCAGACTGAGGATGTCGCTAAAAACATGGTAACTAACCTTGTAGACGCCAATCTCACCAATAAACCTGTGCATCCTCATGTGCTTGTTTGGATTTCAATAACCTTTCTATTGTAAAAGCAATTAACCACGCTAAAGAAGGTTTTGAAAAAAAAAATAAAAAACCATTTTAAAGACCTTTCAACTCCCATACATTATCACTTTTCAGGGCTATTCTATTTTCATTATGTAAATTTAAGTTTTCTACAGTTGTCAGCCCATCAAAGATGTCCTCATTTTTTTCGACTTTCGAATAGCCAGGTGTGGTGGCTCACACCTGTATTCCCCGCACTTTGGGCAGCTGAGGCAGGAGGATGGCTTCAGCCCTGGAGTTTAAGACTAGCATGGGAAACATAGTGAGACCCCCATCTCTACTAAAAACAAAAAATTAGCTGGGTGTGGTGGCACATGCCTGTGGTCTCAGCTACTTGGGAGGCTGAGGCAGGAGGATTGTTTGGGCCCAGGTGTCTGAAGTGAGCCATGTTTGTACCATTGCACTCCAGCCTGGGTGACAGAGCAAGACCCTGTCTCAAAACAAATTTAAAAATAATTTGCTGTTTAAAAAAGTCTCTACAGTCTAGGCATGGTGGCTTGACCCTGTAATCTTAGCACTTTGGGAGCCCAAGGCAGGCAGATCACTTGAGGTCAGGAGTTCAAGCAGGAGTTCGAGACCAGCCTGGCTGACATGGTACAGAAATTAGCCAGGCATGGTGGCATGCGCCTTTAATCCCAGGCTGAGGCAGGAAAATTGCTTGAACCTGGGAGGTGGAGGTTGCAGTGAGCTGAGATTGCACTCCAGCCTAGGGGACAAGAGTGAAACTCCGTCTCAAAACAAACAAAAAGCTCTACAATAAATATTTCAAATGTATAAAATCCCTTGGAGCAGTACACCGTAATTTACTTGATTTTGGCTCATCATCAGACACGTGGGTTATTTCCTGGTTTTCATGATAAAGATGAGAGTGCGATGGGTGAAATTTCCCGATGCTGAGTTGCAGAAGCATGATTGCCAGCTCATTTTCATGGCTCTTTAAACAGTGCTGGTTGTTCAGTTTACATGAGGACACATTTCACCTGGTTACAAGCACAGATGTACGCATGTATGTACACACATGCATATATGTGTCTGTATAAACACACATGCGCTTAGACATTACACATACAGATGTATTTATTCCTGCGTGGTTCTCCAGTACACCCTACAGGCCAAGGACATTGCCTGCCCCACCCTCAGTCCCACTCAAAGGTCAGCCCTGAAGCAGCTATGCCTCAGCCCCAGTGTCCCTTGGCCACTTGATTGAACAACCAGTGAATCCAGAGACCAACCTTTGACCTGTGACATCACCTGCCACAAAGGAGCGTGGACAAGAGCTGCTGAGACGGAGGCTGTGGGCTGCAAGCACGGACGGGAAGGAGGCCCAGAGAGCACTGGGCAGAACTCGGCTCATGGTGAGACAAGGTTATGCGGAAGCAGCAGAATTACAAGGAACAGAGCTGGGCACACAGGAAAAGGCAAGTGAGGCCACAATGGGGAGAGGACAGAGCAGCCGAGTGGGGTGGCAACGGTCACCAGCCCAGGTACCGGAGTGGCACTCTGCGGACTGGCTGACACATGGGGATGGCCTGGGGCCCAGGGCAGCCCTCTGGGCTGTATGTGTGGCTCTGTCCTGATTCCCTGGGGAGCCCTGGTGGCCATGGGGCCAGGGAGGCCATCAGTCCCACAGGCTTTGGTCACTATTTGCTATTGTGGGGCTGTGTTCAGGGGTCTTATGGGGGTCTCCCAGATACAGGATAGAATATCGCATTAGATCAGTTACACTACAGACCCTCAAAGAGCCCCTCTGAGCCAGGCCTGGTTTGGGTGCTGGGAACCCCTCTGTAGGTCTCACAGGCCAGGCGAGCCTGACTGGGGACCTTTGGAAGCAGCTAATCCCAGGTTCCCATTTTACAGAAGCGGAAACTAAGGCTCAGAGAGAAGTAACTTTCCAAGGTCCCAGAGCAAGGTGGGTCAGAGCCAGGATTGTCATACACTTTCCCAGCACACCGCAGGGGACTGGCTGGGGGTGATGGGAGGTGGTGGAGGGGACTAAGAGAGGGTCTTGGTTCACTGGCTGTATGGCAGGTCTGGAGAAGCTCCCTCACCCTCACCCCTCTCCTTCCTTGCAATGCTCGAGGAACACAGAGAGGAGCTGATCTGTTTTCCTTGTGTGTTTAATTAAAGTCCCAGCTCTCTAGAGGAGCACAGTCCACCTAGGGAGAAAAATTGGAGGCCAGCAGCAAACCCCTCCCAGCGCTGGGGAAATGCATTCCTGTGGTGACCAACGTCCCCTGGGGAACCTGGTGGGGCCCCCTGAGGAGCGCACGTCCCCGCCCAACTTCGCCTCCCTCAGGGTGCCACCTGCTGCATGGGCCTGAGGTTCGGGCACACGGCGAAGTCACAGCCCGTGCTCTTTCTGATGTCGTCCACGGTCAGGCCCTCCCAGAGCTCCCTCAGCGTCAGGCCTCTCTTCCTGTGCACGTCGAACACAGCCTTCTCTGTGATGATGCGGTCCACACACCGCTTCCCGGTCAGCGGCATGGTGCATTTCTCCATGATTTTGGGGGTGTTGTCCTTTGCGCAGTGCTGCATGGTGACCACCACTCTGGTCTTCTGACTGGACACCAAGTCCATGGCACCGCCCATGCCTTTCACCTTCTTGCCGGGGATCATCCAGTTGGCCAGGTCGCCGTATTTGGAAACCTGCATGGCTCCGAGCATGGTTAGGTGGAGGTGTCCCCCTCGGATCATGGCGAAGGAGTCGTCGCTGGCAAAGCAGCTGCCCCCGGGAAGCACCGTGACCGTCTGCTTGCCTGCGTTGATGAGGTCCGGATCCACCTCGTCTTGTGTGGGAAACGGGCCCAGGCCCAGGATCCCGTTCTCACTGTGAAGGTGGACGGTCATGTGGGGGCTGATGAAGTTGCTGGCCAGCAGGGGGATGCCTATGCCCAGGTTGGCGTACATGCCGTCCTCAAATTCCAGAGCTGCGCGTCTGATGATGCGCGTCTTGGGGTCCTCTTCCTTCAGGGCGTCTGCACCTTCCTCTTTCCGGATCGTTAAGCGCTCGATTCGCTTCTCGTATTTCGGCCCCTTTATCACGCGATCTACATAAATGTTAGGGACGTGGATGTCTTCTGGGGGGAAAGTCCCCACGTCCACGATCTCTTCCACCTCCACTGCCGTGACGTTTGCGGCTTTGCACATGGGCACGTTGAAATTGCGGGCGCTTCTCCTGAAGACCACGTTTCCCGCCCGGTCTGCCTTCCAGCCTTTCACCAGGGCGAAGTCCGCCCGGATGGCGCGCTCCAAAAGGAAGTGGTCGCCGTGGAACTCCCTCACCTCTCGGGGCTGGCTCATGACCGCCAGGTGGCCGTCCGGGGTGTAGCGGATGGGGGCGCCCCCTTCCTGGACCAGGGTCCCGTAGCCCGTGGGGGTGTAGAAGGCGGGCACCCCGGCACCCCCCGCGCGGATGCGCTCGGCCAGGGTGCCCTGGGGCGTGAGCTCCAGCTCCAGCTCGCCCGCCAGGTACTGCTTCTCGCACAGCGAGTTCTCGCCCACGTAGGAGCAGACGATGCGGCGGACCTGCCTGGTGGCCAGCAGGAGGCCCAGGCCGAAGTCCTCCACGCCCACGTTGCTGCTGACCACCTTCAGGTCCTTCACGCGGGTCCTGAGCAGCGCGGCGATCAGGTTCTCGGGGATCCCGCAGAGCCCGAAGCCCCCCATCATGACGGTGGCCCCGTCAGGGATGTCCTTCACCATCTCCACTGGGTCCCTGTAGAACTTGGCGCGGCGCCGGGGGCTGGTGGTAAAGCGGCGGGCGCACCCCTGGGACAGCGCGAGCCCTGAGCCACCGATGGGGACCCCGCGCCCGAGCGCTGAAGCCAGGAGCCGCAGCGCCGCCATGGTCGGCCGGGGTCCGAGGCCAGGACAGGCCGTGTGAGCCCCGTGTGCATCCCGGGGGGCCGTGCGTCACAGAGCAGGGAGTGCGCCCGAGCCCTGAGGCACCCCTCCCAGCCTCCAGGCCAGGCTCAGGACAGGAAGGAGGCTGCTCCCCAGCTCCGCCCTGTGGTTCCTCCCCACCCCCGCCATGGGGGCACCTGCCCGATTCCCTCCTGCCCCAGTGGAGCCTCAGACACAAACTCCATCCCCCTCCCCCCTCCCCCAGCTTCCCCAGAGACAAGTATCTACTGAGCAGGCGCTGCTGGGTGACGTCTAGGGTCATGACCACCCTCACTGGGCACTCACACTGTGCCAAGCACCCTCCTTCAATCCTGTGACAACCCGGAGAGTGGGTGCCTGAACCGCTGTAGCACACCTCACAGTGACAGCGGGGACACTATCCCTCACCTCCATCAGGAAGGGTGTCTGCTCTTAAGAGGCCCCCCTCTTGTCCTCCTCATCCCCTGCCCCCTCCACCTCCACCAGTCCAGCTCCCCCCTCCAGCTCCCCCCTCCACCTCTACCACTCCAGCTCCCCCCTCCAGCTCCCCCCTCCACCTCCCCACTCCAGCTCCCCCCTCCAGCTCCTCACTCCACCTGCCCCCCTCCAGCTCCCCCTCCACCTGCCCCACTCCAGCTCCCAGGAGCCCTAGATCCAAGTTGTGCAGAATTTTGCAGTTTTCTTCCCTCTGCTCAGAATCACTCCAACGCCACAGCAGTGAGCAGCCGTCTCCTCACCTGTAGAGGACCTGCCTTGTCCCTGGTTCTCTCCAGCCCCAGCCCCTGTCTCTGCTCCCCTTCCCCAGCAAAGGTTCTGGAAAGCACTGTCTCCTGCCCACACTGCCTGTCTCCCTCCACCTCCCAGTCACACCCACAGTCCCCCGAGATTTGGGTCAACAACCTCTGTGTGGCAAAACCCTCGGTCACTTCTTGGCCCTTGCCTTCAGTGCCCACGGCAGGACACAAATAACAAACCCTTGCTTCTGGAAACACTTTAATCTGGTGTCTAGGTCACCTCACTCTCCAGGTGTCCTGCTCCCTCCCTGGCTGGTCCCTCTGGGCTCACTGTGGCCCCTCCTTGAGAGCTCTCTGGATGCTGGAGGCCCCCTCAGGGCTCTGGGCCAGGCCCTCTCTCTTCTCCGTCACTGTCTTCCTTCCCTAGGCAACCTGGTCCCGCCCCATGCTTTAAATCCACTTACATGCCAGCACTTCCCACACCTGGGTCTTCAGGCTCACCTGTCCCTGAAGTTGCATTTCCATGAGGACCAGGGATCTCAGTAACATCCCAGTGGGCACCATAATATTCCAGCCAAAAGAGACCCCTTGACCACCCACTTCAAACCTGCCCTTTATCTATCGTTCCCCAGTGCAGGCCAAAAAGAAAAATCTATTAGAAACAATGCACTGGTTCCATCCACGCATCATTCAGGCTTCCTCCCTTTCCTTCACCTCCTCGCCAGCTATAACCACGTCCTGACACTGAAATCAACCCACCTTCCTCCACCTCTACTGCTACCCACAGCCACTCGCAGAGCCCACCTGGACCACTGTGGGGTCCCCACGGGCCTCTCTGACTTCACTCTCATCCATCTCAGTCTATTCTCCCCCACTGAAGTAGGAGATTCTTTATTTTATGCATATATTCAGTAAAGTTTTAATTTTACAACAGTTGATATTACATAAAAATTTGCAAAGATATTATAGAGGTTGAGGTGGGAGGATCGCGCGAGCCCAGGAGTTGGAGGTTACAGTGAGCTGTGATCGCGCCACGGCACTCCAGCCTGAGCAACAGAGCCAAACCCTGTCTCAAAGAAGAAAACAATAGCACAGGGAGTTCCCATACACCTGGACCCAGTTGCCCTGGGAATGTTACTATTTTACACTAGTAGGGTACCTGTCTCGTAACTAACAACCAATACTGATATTCTTACTAAGTAAATCCCAGAATTGATCTGGATTTCATAACGTTTCCCTAATGCCCTTTCTCTGATCCAGGACCCCACCCAGGACCCCACATGCACTGAGCAGGTCTCCTTAGGTGCCTCTGGGCTCCTCCAATTTTCCGACCTTCCCTTTTTTTGATGGGCTTGGCGGTTTTGAGAAGCGCTTGTCAGGTATTCTGCAAAAGCCCTTCTCTTTGGGCTTGACGGTTTTCTCGTGGCTGGACTGGGGTTTCGGGTTCAGGGAAGGGGCCTTCCCCTTGCCTTACACCCAGGACATGTGCTAGCTCCGTGCTGGTCACTGCAGTGAGCCTTCCTCACCTGGCTGAGGCGCTGCCCTTCGGGTCCCCCACGCCCTGTCCTCATTGCACTTACGAGAAACAAGTCACTGAGCAGCCCACGGAAGGGGTGGGGAGCTCGGTTCCATCCTGAGAGAGGGGGGCGTCTCCGAGGGTTCTCTTTTAAAACCTGAATCAGGCTGAGCAAGTAATGTCAGCACTTTAGGAGGCTGCGGCGGGCGAATCACCAGGTCAAGAGATCAAGACCATCCTGGCCAATATGGTGAAACCCCATCTCTACTAAAAGTACAAAAATTAGCTGGGTTTGGTAGCGCCCACTCATAGTCCCAGCGACTCAGGAGGCTGAGGCAGGAGAATTGCTTGGGCCTGGGAACAGGTTGCAGTGAGCTGAGATTGTGCCACTGCACTCCAGACTGGTGATGGACTGAGACTCCATCTCAAAACAAAACAAAAACCCGAATCAGGTCCTGTTGTCCTCCACTGCTATCATGCTAAGAACCCTAGCCCCTGGCCCTGCTTTACACAGACTCAGAACCGCCTCTGGAAACCCATCCTCGCTGCTACTCCATGGCGGCCCCTTGCCGCATGCTTCCCCTTGCCGCACCTCAAACACGCCCATCTCATGCCCACTTTGGCCTTTGTATTCCCGCTGCCTGGTATAAAGGAGGCTCTCCCCGGTATCACCCTTGGAGTGAACAAGGGTGTGAATCCTCATCCTGTAGAAGAGAAGATGGCCTGGAAAGCTAAGTCCTGGCCAAGGTCACCGCGGCAGGGCACCGTCGGGCTGGGCTTCAAACCCAGCCTCCTGGCCTCAGCACCTGAGCATGCAGCCACTTCCCCTCCTTCCCTTCCCAGGGCAGAAACTCCCAAGGTGGAGGCTGCTCCGTGGGAAGAACCGCCCATTTCCTGGGAAGCAGAAGGAGAGGAGAGAGCACCCCCGCCAGGCCAGACCTCGAGCCCTGGACCTCACTGACCCTCGCAGCAGGCACAGCTGGTGAGGCCGGGCACCCACGGCCACAGGAGGTCACTACTGCTGCCTGTGTTGGCAGAGAGGAGCCCCAGGAGCTGCTCCCGCAGAGCCCCCAGCCTCACCATCCTCAGTCTCCACGTAGAGGCGGAGTCCCAGGTCCTTGTGATGCTTCAGCAACCAGTGGTCACTGGCCGCTGTGATGTCCAGCACCAGCCAGCCCTCAGCCCCAGCTCCAAGCGTCTGAAGATCCAAAAAGAACAAGTCAGACTCCCTGTGGACACGAAAGAACAATTAACTGGCGGCCGGCACAGCTGCCTCTGTGTCTGCAGGGCCCGCCTGGGGGCTGTCACAGGAGCGTCTCCCACCTGGCTCTGGTCTGTGCCCCTTCTGAGCCTCATCTCACTGCCTCAGCAGAGATGTACACATGGGGAAACTGAGGCTCAGTGACCTGTCCAAGTCCCCACAGCCAGGATGGCAGGACAGGGATCTGAAGGCAGGACTGTCACTGGGTGTGGGAAGTAGAAAAGTTCCTTTTTAAAGTTTCCTTTCTTGTTAAAGAGTAAGTGTGATAATAACTGTTAAGTTTAGATTGTGAGGTCAGGCTCCAGCCAACAGATTAGACACAGCAGTAAGGACGACCCCAAATGCGTAAGGGATACATTTGTGTGTTTTCCATTGTTCATTGCACTCTCATAGCAAGATGGCCAGTGAGAGTACCCTTCCTGCAGTCCAGGAAGTAAAAATTGTGTTGCTGAAATGTCGTTTGTCTCAGTGCTAATTTTTCTTTGTGGCACCGAGCATTTATTTCCAACACTGGGGCTCTTCCCACAGTGCAGGGGCCTTGGGCCAAGCACCTCTCCTGTCTTTGAGGCTCTCTTTTGGGTCCTCTGGGAAAGGCTCCATTCACCCCCACTCCCTGCTGGGCTGCCTTGACCATGAGACTATGAGTTGGGTTGGGTGGGGAGCACCCAGGCCAAGGGGAAGGCACCTGTTGAACTGCTCCTGGACCACCTGGAACATGGTGACGTGGAGGGTGCTGTTGAGCAGGTGGGTGCTGGGCACCTTGTAAATCCGGAACTCCGCGGCCGTCACGGCCTCCCCAGCCGGGATCTGGGTCAGGTCAAAGTGGAACTCCTTCCAGTGGGGCTCTTGGTGGCCCAGGGCACGGTCTCGCTCCACTAGAAGACAAAGCAGAGCTGGGCTGGCACTTGGAATGGCTCGGGCTCTGGAGTGAGCAGAGCCGGTGTGAGCCCCTGCCCCCAGCTGCCCATCGCTCAAGGTGCAGGGGGACCCAGGAAGCCTGGGTGGGGCTATCTTTGTCCTCTTCGAACGTGTGTTCCAGGCTTGGCCCTGGGGCATGGACAGTGCCGAGGGGCTGTTACAGCCAGGCACACCCTGAGCCCTGCACCTGGCTATGCTCAACAGGCCCCAGGCTCCACACCCCAAACTCCCATTGCGCCCCTTCTCGGCCCTGGCTGGTGTTGAGACCCACAGATGAGACAGAGGAGGGAGCTTCCAGCTAAAGAGAAGATGGACATTGGACCCAAGGCAGAAAAAAAGCCCTGACCCTGCAGGGAAACATGGTAGTCAGGGACACAACTGATGGCATGTCAGGGGACACGGGCCATCCAGAGTCTGCCCACTGCCTGGATGAGAGGTGCAGCAGGGAGGGCTCAGGGCTGACAGCTGAGCTGGGCTGAGGCCTGAGTGCGAATCTGCCATGGTGTCAGGGAGGTGGGCCCTGCAGGGGCCGGTCAGCCAGGGCAGAGGGTCAGAGCAGAGGGGCCTGAGGGCAGGGCAAGCACCAGGAGACAGCAGAGGGCAGGGGACCTACGTTTCCTTTGTGGAACAAGGTGGAGGAAGAAGGAGGGAAATGTGGAAAGGAACAAGAAAAACCAGGGCAGGAGTGACAACTACCAGAGTGGCCCCGTCAGGTGCCAGGGGGGTCGAGGGTCCCACTGGGTGGTGGGATGTGAGCAGATGGCATCTGAACTGGCTTTGAAGGGTGGGATGGGGTCCTGGTAGGTGGACAGGTGGCAGGGAGGGCACTCTAGGGAGGGGGACCTCGCATGCACAGGGGTAGAGGTGCCCACAGGTCAGCAATGTTGGGGACCGTGCGTGAGCTCGGCTGTGGCCTGCCTGCTGAGGATGCGAATCCCGGGCCAGGAGCCTGGGCTGTGCCTCTGGCCAGTGGGGAGCACAGGGGTTGGGGGCAGCAGGGGACAGCGTGGGTGGAGGGGAATAAGAAGACACTGCAGAGGCGAGGGTAGAGGCCAGGCTGGAGGCGAGATGGGCAGCAGGGCCCTGTGGCGGGGGCTGACCTGCCAGTCAAACAAAGGAATGAAGCCCACATTTCCCCAGGTGCCCGGAAATGCCCGGGACGCTACATTTAGGGCAGTCTCACTTTAGCCTCCCATCCCTTTTAAACTCTAGAAATCTGTGTTTCCAGAAGGCAGAGGTGGGAGCCGCCCAGTGCCTTCCGCAAAACCCAACACTGAGATTTCAATGATATGTTTGTGAGTCTTTTTAAACATTCTCTCTGGTTACTGGGCTCAGTGACCACAGTCAGGTTTGTAAAAGCACCAGGCTGTGCGGGCTGCAGCGGATGTGGGAGCACTTCCTGTCCTCTCGGTGGGGACCTGGTCCAGCCAGGGGCAGGCGAACAGCTGTGTGGGGCGGGGGATGGGGCCAGACGTGTGTGGGCAGGAGGTGATGGCCGCTCATCCCAGCCCAGGGCGGAGCGGGAATAAAACTGCCTCGTCCCACAGCACCCAAGGGTGGCTGAGAGCCGGGCTGCTCAGTTGCTGTGACACAGGTGACGTCTGGGTCTCTGCCCTGTAGGCAATCACAGCTGATGGCAGAATTCTGGACCTCCTGGCATGAATATCTACACTCGTGTGCTCTCTTCCCTAACACGCTTACACAACATGACTTGGATGACAGTTTCAGTGGGTTCAGGAACTACAGACCCCCGTCTGTTACACGGTTGTGTAGGAATCAGAAAAGGGCCCTGGCCCTGCAGGGAAACCTGGTAGACAGGGACATGACTGATGGCATCTCAGGGGACACGGGCCATCCAGATCCTGCCCACTGCCAGGATGGGAGTTGCAGCTGGGGAGGGATTTCAAGATTAAATTAGTTCGTGCTGTTGGCTGTCACAGGGCATGACAGTGAAGGAACAGCTCAGCCGCACCTTCTCCTGTCCTCTCTCAAAGCATGGCTAAGTGCGTCTGTCCCAGGGCACGGCAGGGCTGCTGGGTGGCTCCTGGGGCTCACTGGTATCCCTGCCAGCAGGCTCCATGCTAACTTCATGTGGGATCCGAAGACTGAGGGAACAGCCCACAAACCCTTCAGCTCTAGGGGGACACTTGTGCTCTGCAGCCTCCCTCCCTGCCTGACCTGGGGGTCTTCCCAGGCTGGCTTAAGGGTCACTCAGTTGAACTGACCCCAGTTCCAAACCTCCTTGCGGTAGGCTTGTGAAATCGCTAAACTACCCAGAAATTCCAGCACAGGAAACTGCCTCCCCTGGCTGTTCCAGGCAAACCTGGAGGTTGGGAAATTTTTAGGAAAATAATGATTTTTATCAGAAACAGATAAAACTTCCTGGGGTGTGGCACTGCAGTTGGCATTACTGTGATGGGGCAAAGGGAGTGCCCTTTCTTTGCTGGAGCCATGTGGGTCTGCAGCTGGCCTTTGGATCAGAAAAGTTATTTCTCAAAAGCTGGGGCTGAGAAAGAGCATTTGCTGGGGCCCAGATTTTCCCCTATGAAGGTTCGTGGGCAGACGGCCCCTGCTTTAGCCTCTAAGACAGCACCGAAATGGGCTCCTGGTCCCAGCCCTGACCCTGTGGACGACCTGTGTCACCTCAGTCTCCTCGTCTGCAGAGTGGGGATTCTGTCCTTCCCTGCCAGGGCTGTGGAAGGGCAGGGGCTATGGGATAGAAGTGGTGGCCATGCCTCCGGAGGCTAACGGCTGGTCTCCTAATTTAAAGTATCAAAGTGACAACATCCAGCCAGGACCATCAGGAGGCCACGTCAGAAACTCAGTGGCCATGGTGGGGAAAGGGAGACATTCAGTTTTGTTTTTTTCCTAAATAAAAGTGTGAAATGGGCTGGGTGCGGTGGCTCACACCTGTAATCCCAGCACTTTGGGAGGCTGAGGTGAGTGGATCACAAAGTTAAGAGATAGAGACCATCCTGGCCAACATGGTGAAAACCCGTCTCTACTAAAAAAAAAAAAAACAGCTGGCTGTGGTGGCGTGTGCCTGTAGTCCCAGCTACTCGGGAGGCTGAGGCAGGAGAATTGCTTGAACCCAGGAGGCGGAGATTGCAGTAAGCCGAGATTGTGCCACTGCACTCCAGCCTGGCACCTGGTGACAGAGCAAGATGCTGTCTCAAAAAAGAAAAAAAAAGTGTGGAATGAGAGAAAATACACCATGGAAATCTATCAGTTACCTTTCTCCTTTCACCTGCCTCACCTTTGTCAAGGCACTTAAACCTTCTAGGCTCGGTGTCCACACCTGCAAAACAGCACTTTGAAACAGGGTCAAATGAAAACTGTGAAGAGCCAGGTTTGTTGACTATAGTCATCGCTTGGTTACCGTCCAGCGAACGCGTCTCCCACACCATTCAGAGCATTTCCTTGTCGGTGCAGCCCCAGCCCCCACCTTCCCATAGAACCGAGGTCGGAATCTCCCAAAGATGCCCGGCTGAATGGCAGCACCTCAGCAATGCCACTGGGACCGTCCCCCAGTTCTGGCTCAGACAGAAAGCACCAGATAGAATCTCCTCCCACGTTCCCACATGTGGAAATGGAACCCTGACTCCTGGCTAGGCGCCTTCCACTGCAGTGAACCACCTCTGTCTGAAAAGAGCATAAAAACCATGCTGAAACCGGCCAAAAACGCGGGAGGCCTCTAGACAGATACTGAACACACAACACAAAATGACTGTCGATGCTTCCCACCAGCTGCTGGTATTTGAGGGTCCAGGGAGGAAATTCATGGGAAAGGCCAAGGTCTGCACAACGTGATTTCTTGGGTTTTCCCAGTAAAATTCTGCTGCCAGTTGTAGGGTTGGGAAGTTCATCCCAGGGCTCCCTGTTGGATTCAGATAGGCTGCGGCGGGGGGGTCCATGTGGGAGATCTCTCTGGCTAATGTCCTGATTCCAACCATCTGAGATACATCCTGCCAGGAATCCCCTCTCCATGGTGGCCCTGGGAGGAACCATTGATGTGTAGAGCATTCTGGGCAGTAAATTTATTTCCCCCATCTGTAAAATCTGTGACAGGGATCCTATTTTTGAGGGTTCCATAATTTCACTTTTGGGCATGAAGGAGGAGGTCCCCCTGACTGTTGCCTTCTCAAGGTCTGAAGGCTTTATAAGAACACTGACTTCCTCATTCATTTTTCCTGGTGACAGCCAGGAATATGAATTAATTCATTATTCAGCACATTTTAAAGCAGCACTAATTGTGCACAAGCCATTGCTGAGGTGCAGGAGACACTGCAGTAAGTAAGATGGGGCAGCCCCTGTCCCCATGGGGTTTACAGCCTTGCAGGGAAGTCAGATAACAAGATCAGCATGTGCTGACGGTGGGACTGGGAATAAAGCAGGGAGTGTGGGGCTGCTTTATTTATGTTTTTAACTTGATTTTGAAATACTTCTAGATGATTTAGATCTAAAGGGAGCATGAACAGTACAGAGACTTCCCATACATTCTTTTCCTGATAGCTTCCCCTGATGATAGCATCTAACATAACCAATCTGTAGTATAAGAAAACCAGGAAATTGATATTGATACAAAACTGTTAACTAAATCCAGACTTTTCTCTAATTTTACCAACTGTCCTACTAATATCATTTTTCTGTCAAGGATTCAATCTAGGATTTCATGTTATTCATACCTTTACTGTCATTTTCCCTTGGGTCCCTCTGATGTGACAACTGCTCAGTCTTTTCTTCCCTGTCAACCTTGACACTTTTTTTTTTTTTTTTTTTTTTTTGAGACAGGGTCTCGCTCTGTAGTCCAGGCTGGAGTGCAGTGGTACATGGTACAGTTACAGCTCACTGCAGCCTCAACCACCTGGGCTCAAGTGAGCCTCCTGATTCAGCCTCTGGAGTAGCAAGGGCCGCAGGTACACACCACCATGCCCAGCTAATTTTTAAAAAATTGTTT